CAGGCCTTGGTCTGGGGCTGCTCCAGGCCCTGGGCCCTGCTGTGCGGCTCAGATGGCCGCCCCGGGAGGGTCCGCAGAGCCCAGCCCCTGGGCAGCTCTCTCCAGGCCCTGGCTGGGCTGGCTGGGTGGCGGGGGAGGTTGGGATGCCCTCGTTGCCGGGAGCGTGGCATCACCGTCCTGTACTCTCGTAGACAGCCTGGACTCACAGAGCTGCGGGGGCTGCCCCAGCTTCCTGAGCGCGTCCAGGGCAGACCCGGGGCCGGCACGTGGCCCACACAAGCGCGCTGGCTGCTCCCACACCTCCCGGCCTCCCTGGTCGCCCGGTTAGAGACAAGGAAAGTGCTGACTCTGGGTCTGGGTGCCGGCCGCCCAGCTAGGGAGCCACAGCAGGGCCGCCAGCCAGGCCCGCCTGCTCCTCGCCCTGTGCCTGTAACGACCTCCGTCCAGCCCTGCTCCTGGCCTGTCTCCCATCCGAGTGGAGTCTCAGAGGGTCGGACAGGACCCTGGGACAAGAGGTCCCGGAAAGTGTAACGGGCCTAGACCTGCCGAACCCAGGCCCCTCCAGCACTGCGCCCTGCTCATCGCCCTCCTCCCCTCCCTCGCTGCCACCTCTCCCAAGAAGCGGGTCTCAGGAAGGCTCCCTTCTAAACAGCCCTTGCTAGTCCCTCCACTGGCCCTGCCCGGCACGGCTCGCCCGGCCCGTGGGCTCTGACAGGCGAACTCGCCTGATGTCGTAGGCGTGCATGTCCTTCTCCGGGCGCCCGTGGACCACCCAGTGCGCCAGCTCCTGCCCGCAGCCGCCACCCAGCATCATACCTGCAGGAGGGGAAGCACGGGTCTGTGTGGGGCCCCATGTCCAATCCAGCGCCTGGCCCTCCTGCAGGCGGCCCACGGCTCTGAACCCCTCCCTCATGCCAAGCACTGCCACCCCCACTGCCAGCACGGGCCAGGGTGTTAATGGGCCTGACGCCCCCCTCCCGCCCCTCCCCACGACCCAGAGCCTAAGGCCTGGCTCTGGTGGCATGGCACTTACCCGCGCTGTTGAAGCCGCAGCCCAGGAAGAAGCCCCGGAGCTCAGGTGCCTCCCCCATCAGGGGCTTGTGGTCTGGGGTGAAGGACTCTGAAAGGCAGGTCCATGTGCACTTTGGGGGGGCTCCCGAGGAGTACTGATCCCAGCAGTGGTCTACAGGTGCCACCTCCATACAGACCGTCCCCTTCCCCAAGACCCTGTATAATGCCACTTCCCCCGGGGAGCCACCCTGATTGTTCCTGCCCAGGTTCCCTGAGCTCCTTGGCCTTTGCTACCAGCCCTGGCTCTGCCTCCTGGCGTCCAGGCCACCTCATGGCTGTGGCTGTTCCCCCTCCCCGACACCACAGCCAAGGGGCTCCCTGGCTGCAGCATGTCCTGCTGAGTCCTCGATGGTGACGCCGCACGAGGCCCACCACCCAGCCCCACGGCCTTGAATGGGGCTCCATAAATGTTCATGGAATGAATGCGTGATTGCAGATTCCTCGGGACAGAGCCTCCCGCTTCTGTCTGCTGCCCACGTTTCTCCAATGGAGGTCAGAACGTGGTCGACGGGGCCTGGGCATAGTCGCCCAGGCAGGCTTGGCGACCACGGTCTTGGGCCCCACCCTTCCTGGCCGTGTGACCGTAGGCAACCGTGTCGCCTCTCTGAGCCTGTCTCCTTGTCTGCAAAACCAGGAAACAGTCCTCACTGACAGGGCTGAAAGTCTGCTACAGACATTCGTGGCCTGCCTGCCGTGTCACCTGGCCTCGGATGCAGCTTTCTCGATGAGAGGTGAGGGAGGCTCTGGAGAGGGCGATGGTGATGGGAGGGAGAAGACAGCTGGGTCATCTGGGTGACAGTGAGTCGTGTGGGAGGGCCAGAGCTCTCCCCAGGCCCAGGGCAGGCAGGCGGAAGTTCTGAGCAACCTCCCGGGACGGCCAGAACCAGCAGGGGGGAGGTATAGAGGGCAAAGGATGCTCACAGACAGCTCAGTGGGCTGAGCAGCACAGCAGGGGCTCTGTGTGGTGTGGACAGGGAGGGCATGGCTGGGCTGGAGTGGACAGAGACAGCATGGATGAGGGCAGTGTGGACGGGGGTGGTGTGGACGGGGGTGGTGTGGACGGGGGTGGTGTGGACAGGAACAGTGTGGACAGGAACAGTGTGGACAGGAGTGGTGTGGACAGGGACGGTGTGGATGGGAGGGGTGTGGACAGGGACGGTGTGGATGGGAGTGGCAGACTTGTGTGGAGGGACGGTGTGGAGGTGGCAGACTCGTGCCTCCACCCTCTCCATGACCTGACCTCCACCACCCTGGACGAGAGCTCCATCCACCCTGAGGCTCCCGCATAAAGGGCCTGGATGTCCCTTTTTCCTGCAGAGGCCAAAAGCCACTGAACATCCCTGGCCAGGAGCATGCTGGTTCCCAGGGGCCTCCACGGCAGCCGGAAGCCCAGACTGTGTCCTCACAGGTACGCCCCCACCCCCAGACAGGGCCTCCGCGGGAAGGACGGCCCTGCTCTGACTAAAGCACACGCTCTGTCTGTGCACCCCCAGGCTCCCCCAGGCCCGGTTTCCCACGCCGCCCAGTGCATGCTGGGGGAGAGGCAGGGGATCGTGAGTCACAGCCGTGCAGCGCCCAGTGCTGGCTGCCAGCTGCAGGCGGCTGCTGCAGCCTGCTGCAGCTCCTCTGGGGAGCCCCCCAGGGCTGCACCGGCACCAAAGCCTTCCTCACAAGCCGGAGAGATTTTAAAAAGGGGTTAAAGTAGGCCAGGCCCACAGCTGTGTGAGGCCGAGCATACTGGGACAGAGTCCCTCCCTGCCCTGGCCTGCCCC